ATTTTTGCGTTATTCATACTAAATTCTTGTATTGGTGTTACATTCTATCGATTAAATATGATCATTAACATTTGATAATAAATTATTTTAGTTAATTCATTTAAAGTATAAAATTGACTTACATTGATATCAAGGGGCTTACTTTTGTAAATTCGAAACAGGGTACCCCACAAATATAGATAAAATCTTCTGCATAAATTAAATAATATTTAATTAATTAAAGTGACAATTGTTTAAAGTACGAGATTTTTAAATGTACATACTTCCATGTTCTATTTTTTGCCTTGACTCCATGTGCTGCCATTTCATCCTTTTTAATGACGTAACCAGCTTTAAAAACACTACATGAATAAGTGGGCAAATTTTCATGGTCTTCTTCTTCACATGTCATGATGTTATTTGCTTCTTGTTTATGCTTAGCCACATCAAAATATGAGGGCAATTCATTACTATGTATCAAAATATGAGGGTAATTAATTACTATCCTTATCATCCGTTACATAGAATGGCAGAATTATTATAATCATTAATACCGCCTTACCTTCGTTTGCCTTCCGGGGCGGATGTAACTACGTCATCCTCCACATGTGAACTAATCACGTGTTGATCAGTGTTAAATTCTTCCGTAATTGTTAAAATGTGATCTGTATAATTTCGGAATAAGTGCTCATCGTGACAATCCTCTACATTTTCCCATTCCGTTGTAGTAAAAAGTTTTCGAAAGTATTTCATGCATGTTATTAGAACTGCTCGATGTGATTCGTTTATAATGCCAATGGACTTTAACGTTTGTTCATTTAAACCCAAGAATTTCTCAAAGTCAATATTATGTTGTTGAAAAGTTGATAAATATTGTTGAAGATGAAGATTATATAAGGATGACTTCAATATCATATCTTTTTAAAAAATTGAACGAAAGTTTTAATAAAAAAGTTTTTTTTTTGGTGAAATATAGTTTTAAAAAATTACACTTACCACTTTTTTGTATTTTGTTCATTTTTTTTAAATATTATTTTCTATACTCCAAAAAAATTATTTAAAAATTAATGTGAAAAATGGTTTTTATTGCAAATTGAGGCTCGAAAATTTGTATTGTGCAAAAAAAAAAAAAAAAAAAACTAGATCGTTTTAAATCATTAATGAGTGTAAATTTAAACTTCTTTTTATCATTATCAATGATTTTATAATAAATTATTATTTACGTTTCATAGTGTAACGAAGAAGAATTATAACCATCTTGCCCCGATAATATCATACGATAATATCATAAGTTTAGAATTGCACAATTTGTCTTATGTAATTTTTACATCACATATCTAACCACCAACTAATGAGGCAAGTACCTACTTCCTAGTTCAATTTACTTTATTGAACTAGTTAGACTTACCGGTAATATTGTCATGTAGCTCATTACGTACGTACACACTATATAAAAATAAAAAAGTTGCCTTAATAAGAATTTAATCAACATTTATTGGTAATATCACGTCTAAAATCTGTAATAAGGTAGAGAAGTAGAGGCCTGCATGAAGATTTCCAGGGATCTAGACATATTTTCCCTATTTCCAAGGAGAAAATTTGGATTCAAATTTATCCATGTAAATCCAAATAATCGGATATATCCAACATGTAACCAAATATGTGTAAATTCATGGATATAGCAAACAATTTGTATGATAACCAAACTTTTTTATGAAATTTTGGTGAAACATAATCGGATGCATATTTCATATTCTGTCAAATACAAGTTATTAAAGTACAAGTCACTCCCGTTATAGTAAACTCTCGATTGGTTTATAATAAAGAATTTATTAAACCAAAATCTATTGCTATAGTAATAGTTATATATAGTGACGCCGTAATTTTTTCAGAAAAAATGCAATTATGGCACACAGAACCAGTTTTAGGTCATATTCAACTTTATACTGTATGACCAAGGTGGTCATAATGTATTAGTAAATTTTATAAGTCATAACAGGTCATAAGGTCATAACCTATAATTGACCAATAGGTCATAACAGGTCATAGGCCAACACTGCACAGAACTACGTACAATTTCCACGATGCGTATGGGTCCGTTTTATTTCACCGACAGTAATTTCACCGAAAATATAAAACCCTAACCCTAAATCGGGCTAAAATGTCGGTAAAATAAGTGTCGATGGAAAAGTGCCGTATGAAACTTGTAATATTGGGAAAAACCAGACTTCGGCTTACAAGTTTATTTCCTGTTCGGACTCAATCTGATATGTTTTAGTCCGATAAATTATAAACTTCAAAGCCAGAAGTCAAGTTCCCTTACTTACAAAATTTAAGAGGGTTGCATTACTAAAATTACCTTTCACATCATTTAATTTTTTTATTTAAAATTTCATAACTTAGATTTCTTGCAATTTTCTCATGCGTAAATTACTGATCCCCAGTTCCATAATTTTCGTGCAATTCAAACTCTGGATTTCAGAGCTTGCACGATAAGAATTCCCAATGAAGATCCTTGGCTTTCAAAAAATTATTCGTCAGCTCAAATTTGATTTTCTGGATCTCTATATTTCATTCGACAGTCTGGAATTCAGAAATCATGGGGCTGAGGATTGATTCTGCTACAACTAGTCTTATTGCATTGAACATATGATCCACATTAGCTTTACCATTACAACATTTACCGTAAAGTGTTGACTGATGTATCTGGGTATTTACAAAGACTAGAAATTTACCCGGTTTACATTTCTCGCTAAACTTTGCCAGTATTCAATTTTTTACTCAACAAGATGTTCTATAAAACAATGAACTTCTATGGATATCTGGATAATCAATATTTAATCCTCAAACTGCCTCCAGGTATGTATAACTTAATAGGTTTAGCATTTACAGTAAATCACGAAGTTATAAGAAAAGTAGCCTACTTAAAATTATCATGTGTTCAATGTATGCCTTAAAAAAGGGTTAAAGTATAATTTGATGACCTCTATAACGAACCAAACATAACCACCAAAAATCATTTACGTATTGGTAGGGAGAGTTGTCTGCTGAGTTTTAATTTGAATAAACATGATTACATCATAAAACATGAAAAAATAACAGAAAGAAATAAATTTATGATCATATGAGTTTTGTCGGATAACTTTGTGTTATATTCAAGTTAAAGTGGAATTTTCTTACAATATAAAAAAATTCTTGCAAAACCAAACATTAGTTACAGCATTACGAGCAAATGCACATGATCACGCGCAAATTTTTTTATTTACATTTATAATAATCCCTACTTCCTTTTTAAAATAACCAATATCAATATGTCATTACAATTTTTTGGTGTTCTTCTATAGACCGGTCTAGACCAATATCAATTATAGATAGGGATGCTTAATCGGTCCCGCAGTAATTATCAGCCGACTTTGAGCAAGGTTTATGTAAAATTGGCATTTTTAACTAATTTTTGTCCGATAAGTAAAGTTATAGAAAAGTTATTTCTCTATCAGTATCTAATAGAAGTTTATCAGTTTTTGCATTGGTTTCCGAGTAATTTAGATGGGACCGGTTAGGGACCGATCAACAAAATTCTTTCCACTGCTCGGTCCCTAATCGGTCCCATCTAAATTACTCGAAAATTAATGCAAAACCAGTTATAGGTAAATAACTTCTATAACTTTATTTATTGGACGAATATTAGTTAAAAATGCCAATTATTTACGAATCTTGCTCAAAAATCGGCTAATAATTGTGACAGATTAAATGAAATTCAGATTAAAATGAAATTTAATATAATCTAATTGGTTAGGGTTAGGGTGATCTACAAAATTAGCCAATAGAATTATTAATTTCATTTTAATCTGAATTTCATTTTAATCCGCAACAATAATTATTGAGCAAGTGTGCGGAAATTTTCGGAGTAAAAAATATTTAAACAGTTAAGAGTGCCGCCAAATAAACCATATAATAATAATAAAATCGAGAGCCGAATGAACCAAATTGTATCTTTACTACATTTTTCTGTCTTTTAAGCTTTCGAAAAATTGATCAGCCAACGTATAACTTCAGTTAACTAAAAATAGTACGTAATCCCGATAAGAAATAAAATAAGTAATTTTTCAGTGTTTCTTACGAATTGAATTCACATGACTATGTACAATTTGATTGGCTAATAACGGTGTTAATCGGATCTGATAATCTTAAATTTAGCATTTTTAACTAGCCTTTGCTATAAATGCTATAGAAACTAATTGCGACTCTGCCGAAAATATTTCGACATCGATTTTTTGGTAGAAATAGAGCCACAAGCAGTAATTTTATGTCATAACACAAAGTCAAAACCGAAACCTATAATGAATGTCATAACCTAAATTAACTAATTGGTTTTGCCGAAAATATTATTATCGATTTTTTAGTAGAAATAGAACCGCAACTGTTACAACATAAAGCCGAAACCAAAACCTATATGAATGCCATAAATTAATTAAAAGCCGCTATTTAAATATACAGTATTAGAAGCTTTAAAATCATAACTATACGTAATACGTATATTTTTATTATACAAATTTAGTAAAAGATAATTAATTTTGGCTACGTAAAACGTATAGGCTTGCGGCACTTTTTTGCCACTTGAGGCAGTGCTTAATGCCAAGAAACTATGACGAAATACTTTCTACAGTATGTATAGCCTTTGCCTAATACAGTAAATAAAGCTTTAGGAAAGTTATTTGCTTTTAGTAAAAATTTGCCAGTTTCGTTATTAATGTTTGATTTGGTAAATAATCAATAGTTGGTATCCGAAATTTTCACCTGCAAAAATTTTTTTTTATAATAATCGGTCCCAGTTTTTTGATTAGCAACTATGGTGTTCAACCAGGGACCCGCAAAAATTTGGATATCAAATTGCGAAAATTTATTTGGGTATGGACCAATATTTGGAATTATTTGAGATATTGCGACTAGAATAGTGTTACAAATTGCCAAAAATTTTTCAATCGATTAGTTGACTAATTCAAAAATTTTCAATCGATTAGTTGTCAACTAAACGATTTATCGATTTTGATCGATTATTTTATTATAAGTTGACAAAATTTTTCAATCGATAAATTATTTTTTTTAAAAATTTCCAATCGATTAGTTGGTTTAGTTGACAACTAATCGATTTTTCGATTTTCGATTTGTATCACTAGACTAGAAGCAAAAAACTAGGAAAACAGTGTTGACCAATCAAATATCAATTTTTGCAGGTGGTAAAAAAAATATCAAAATATATTAATTCTGATTGGCTGAGCATAAATGGATTATCATTGCTAAAAATAAAAAACCGTTGATTATCAATTCGATTGAAAAGATTGAGAAATAAGAATTTATTCTTTCTCTATTATACTAAAATTCATAATATTTTTAAAGAAAAATAATGTCGAAAAATACAGATAAACCTATTCACATGTTTCGCCAAGTATGGTCGAAATTTAAAAACCGAGTGTCAACTAGGCTTAAACCTCAAGAAAAATGGGTTCATCCAAAAGATAGAATTAAAAGGTGGAAAATTGTTGAAGGAGATACGGTAACAAAAATAAAGTTTTATAAATAAAGTCATTTAAGGAATTGTTGAATATAATGAAATATAGGTCAAAGTTATCGCAGGTGATGCTAAACATCAAATTGGGAAGGTTAAGTCGGTCGATATGTTTACTAATAGAGTTTGGGTAGATGGTGTAAAAGTGGTATATATTATTCGAACTTTGGTTCTATCCACTATTTTATTTTATTTTTTTCTTTCTATTTAATTGTTCAATATTTGATGACATAATATGTAAATAATTAGGGTAGAAGTACTTCGCCTAATGAAATTTCAAGTGCCGCAGATCAATCAGAAAAAAAGGGTGGATGGTGGTTACGACCAACTCTGAAAGCAATTCACGTATCAAACGTTATGCATATATATCCCGATGATTTGAAAGAGTAAGTGTTCATACTATAAACCTTTGATCTCTTTGATATAATACTTCTATATAGAGTGCGAGATATTTTCTTTCTATAGTGATTCCATTGCAGATAAAGATAAGTATGTTGTCTTCTTTTTTAAATATAAAAAAAAAAATTTATTTTATCAGAGATTGAATTATTGATGGGGTAAAACAAATGCTAGGAGACGCGTTCGAACTAGATGGAAAAAAATCGATATTGATGGAGAAGGGACGATGAGATGGCGACGTGTAGTTTGTGGGACCGATAATGTCATCATACCTTTCCCACCGAGACCAGAAAAGTCAGAATATAATCAAGAAAGTAGGTTTATAAATTATAACTTGTTTAGTTTAACTTTATGAAAATAATTGGTTTACAATCGGCGTTATATTTGTTAGAATCACCATGGGATACTTCAAAAGAACTAGCAAGTGAAATGACATGGACAGTTTCAAAAGATTATCCATTACCTCCGGGCGTGATTGATGAATTGCGTAATCGACATAAACCTTGGAGATATAATTATCTTCATAAAAATAGACCTTTTGTTTAATATAACTGATAAGTTTTGAATTATTATAAACTAATAATCGTTGCGTGAAAACAAAAATTATATGAACTTATAATGATTTACTGTATTTATCACAAAATTCATAATGCTTTGAAGAAGTTTTCATTTACATCATTTTTTTTTTTTTTTTTTTTTTGCAATACAATTATATATTTTCTTTTTATACTCATAAATTATGCAGATATAAATGCATTTCAGTACTTACAGCCAATTGACCGCTGTCTCATATAACCATAAAACTTGTCATATTAGATCCATTATTATTCTTATATGAACTCGGAAGAACCAAATAACTCTTAAGGAATTTGAAGAATCACAATATATTTTCTAATTGTAATTATAAAAATTATAAAAATCAAGCAAAAAAATATCATTACATAAAACAAAAAAAAAAATAGTAATATTATATTTATTAACGAGTCATCATTGAAAGTAGTTTTTCTATAAATTCATTTATTTTTCTAATATTTTGCGCTTGATCACCATTTAATATTATATCTAATGGATTTACTCAACAAGAAACCAATGAACCGATAAAATGTGAATCCGGTTTAACGCAGAGGGTATAACGATAATAAGAAATAGTTATTCCACGTTTTATCATAGATATCATAAAACATCATGGGCAGTCGGAGATATTATGCATTTATGATATCGACGACAAATACGTGGAATAACTGATTTATCCTCACGTCAGCCGTGAAATATCAACTATAACGATATTAAGCATTGTGACGTAAGCCATGAAAATAATAATAAAAAAATCATGAGAACAATTAGAAACCGTGGGATAATGAAATTATAAAAATTGGTTTGAGAAAATTCCGAAGAGATTGAAGGAACTAGGTAATAAATAATGCGATATCAGACAATTTCTTCATTTTTGAAGTGTTGATATAATCCAGAGTTACGTGTATTTCCTGTTTGGAGAGCTGCACATAACTATTTTATTATAGACATTTTAATATTACTAAATATAGTCTTTAACGTTTATTATTCTGAGAGAATTGATTGTTAAACTTTTTTAAATACTCAAAATAAGTCGTAGCATTATAAGGGTCAACGGATCGTACAATCCGATCAATTCACGATTTGATTTTGAGCTAACCAGCGATGTAAGAAATACGTAAAAGAAAAGCCACTGATTAAAGCAACATATAAAAGTAAACTCAAAGCAAGGATGTCGACACTCTTTCTCTTCTTTCTTTCTTCAATATCTCCCACATAACGGTCATTTTCTCTTTCCACTTCTACCGTTTTCCTATTTGTTTCGAGTAGGCGGAAAACCACCGGGGGTATAAATCAAAAAATATCCGGGTACCTTGCGATTCGTTTGGGAACAATTATGCAGTATTTTAGCCAATCAAAATCTACAACAAAAGTTATACAAACCCAAAAACATTTTTTTTGATTTGCAGTCGCGATCTTGATCTATCCGCAGTAGGTTCAGGCACAGAGGCATGGGCATGCCTTTGGGGCATGCCTCAGAGGCATGCCTATAGGCAGTGATGTATATTTTGGTATGTCCAAAGCTTTTTTGGACATGTTCAACGTCCAAGTGTCAAGTGTCCAAGCTGTCTATAGCCTTTAAACATTTTTGCTTAAAAGATTTGAATAGGTTATCTTAATAAAATTTTGAGTAAATTCATTTTATTTTTTTGTTCAAAATGTCCAAAATCTTGTCCAAAGGCTGTCTACATACAACACTGCTAATACATTAATAGGCATGCCCTAATCATATGATATACAAATCTAGCTAAAAACTATAAATACTAAATACTTGTACAACTATATTATTTATTTAAAACAAGTTATCTACTTTGGATTTATTATATTTGAATTTATTGTATTTGAATTTTTCTTTTACTCATTGCAAATCTCCTAAATAATTTCCGCGTAATACTTTCAAAGACTAAGCTTTTCTGTAAAAGGGTTCTCAAATTTCTGGGTCAGAAGGCATGTTTAGCAATGCAGCATCAACGCAACGCCAGTTTAACCATGTTTATAATGAATTATCATGCGAGAATTTTTCTTTGAGTTATATTAATTGTAAAATTTTTGGACAAATTTTTAGTGCCTGACCAAGAAATATGAGGATATCCTATATATGTTATGAACAAACAAATTAGTCGCATCAATATCACTAAATAAACTACATGAATTTTGGATAAATAGGGCCGTGATATAAAAATTGATTCCGAGAAATAAAGTACAGTATCATTTAAAAAAAAAAGGTATATATGCATGGTTCTTTAAGAAATACAGTACCAGATAATAATTGAACAATAACGAATTGAGTGTCTTTAAATATTTTTGGTGATATCGATAGTGTCTTTAAATATTTTTGGTGACATCGATACTATAATATCATATCTAAAAAATGTATAATATTAGTGCAAATTCAGATTGGATTAACTTTCGTTAGCCGTATTTAAAATCAATGATCTTCAATAAATTATTAGGTTACCTGTTGACTTTCTTGTTAGTATCGGATACTTCCAAGAAAGGTTATAAATGAAAATATGTTCTAAACTCGTTGTTCTAATGTTCATTTGTTCTAAAAATACAATGCTGATTATCAAAAGAGAAAAATTAAGGGTAGAGAATACAATTTGTAAATTATATATAAAACTTATGGTAAAATTTTTTTTAATTAAAAATAAAAAAATATTTTATTAAGTAAACAGCTTTTAAATATTAATTAAAAATTATATAATAGGTTTTTCTGATTTTAATGATAATAAATTTATTAAATTTGAATAGATATTTATCAAGATACATGTTTTTTTTTTTGTTAAGGCAGCTTACATTGCTGAAAGAATTTTATTAGAGTTGTCAACAGGATTATACATTGATAATCTCTATTGTTTGTAATTACATGAAGAGTATACAACAAGCTACATGTACAACTTTAGTTATTGTCTATTTTAAGTAGTCTGCTACACAGGCATTAGACTACCTAATTGGTTTTACATTATGTTGCTATACCTGTAACCCATCTGTGAGTTACCTATTTAAATACTCTGTTCATTAATCTATACAGATCCAACCTAACATCACCACAACACCTAACTACTTAAGCTAGCTAGCTCATTACAGATCTATTTATTCAGAATAGCTTAGGTTCTCTCAAGATATATTATCTCAGATGCATTGCTAGTATTGCAAAGCTAGTTAACTTCGAAGCAAATCTACTAAAGTAGTCTGTATCTATTTTACAAATTCATATAGCTTAGACTCTTGTAGATGTTTATACAATTTCAGGTTCTACTATAGTCCTTTACTAGTCAGCTGATCTAGTCTTTTTTCAGTATCCAGCTAGTCCTAGTTACCTTTCATCCAGAGACCTCAAAACCTTCTACCTTTATTAGACTGAGTTTTCTTCTCAGATTAGACTTTAGCTAATGTAGTTTTGTTAGAAAGCTATACTACTTTACTGACTTGGGATTTCTACTATGCAGGTCCTCTGCTCATATATTTTATCAAGATTTATTTGTATAATATTATACTATATTTCCAAGTTTTGATCGATTTGGTACAACTCAATTTATAGGGTTATACCTTCAAAAACAGATAGGGTTTACTGTAATATATCATAAGGTCTAAGAAATTATTCAAATTCATTGACAGTGAGATTTGAACCCCAGACCTATTACATAGTAGTCTGACAACCTAACCACTATACTAAGTCGTTAGACCTAAGATACATATTTTTAAAAATTAGATATTATAAATTGTTTATATAAATAATATGAAAATCATATGATTTGAACTAATCAAAATTAATTATTTTATGTAACTACAGAGAATTTTTATATATTACAGAGAATTTTGTAATATATACAAGTATATTTTTTTAAAATATTTTATCTATTAAAAATTTTACTATTACAAAGAATATATTTTATTCTATATTATATTAAAATTTTATAAAAATTAATTGTAACAGTAAAAAGTTTTATTAGTAATATAGGTTTATTTTTTGTCAAAATTATATTGTACTACAAAAATCATATAAAAAATGATATACATATCCTCTACTCTTAAAAAGTAAATGCATAATATCATAGAAACTAAGTAAAAGTTTAAATAAAATATTATATTAAATATAAGAAATATTTAAAATAACTACTCATATTGGTAATTCTCTTTTGCTTTATATTATTAGTATAAAATACCTTTATTATTAATAAAGAAGTAGCTAGTTAGAGAATTTGTATATTTGTCTTGAATGTCTAATCTTTCTAATTATAAATTAAGACTAGTACTAAATATATTATACTTTTGATATTAGTATAATTTTGTATTAGTGAATTTCTAATAAGAATTAAAAACTCTATTTATAGATTTATAATCCTTAAAGAACTTCAAAAATATATCATTAATATTATTAATTTATCTACAAATTTTTTTTTTTTTTTATTTTCAACAAGCTATCTGCAGATTTTTATTAAGTATTATTTTTCAAGTTACATTTGTTAGTAAGGATACAATTAGCTATATATACAACTTTAGTCATTATCTATTTACTAGTTCTGCTATATAGATTACCTACCAATTGCTATACCTAGTATCTGCCTATAAATACTCTATTTAAACCCTCTAGTATTATAGTAAAACTCTATTTTTAACCTAATATATTTATATCTATGTTAATCTTGTGCTATCTAACTTGAGGACCACTCAGATCAATTTGTGTCTTAAATTGTCTTCATAAGACTAAGCTCTATCACAAGATATTCTAATGCATCCTATTCTAGTAGGGGCTTGCAGATGACTCTAACTATGCTATGCTGTATTCTAATTAAGCTAGTATATACTCTTATCATTGTTTATACAAACTTAGTTCTTTCTGTAACTCTCTACCAGATTAGTTTAGTTCTTCTGAATATTTCACGAGATAGATCCTCCCAAATTCAGTTAGCTGCTAAGCCAAGTTGGTGTTGCTTTTTGTATAATATTATATCATACTTAACTTTTCTATTATACTATAAACTTACTTGTACCTATTTGGTCTGCATTCTTTATACTTAGACTTCTTTTAGATTAAGTATCAAGCTAATATGATCATTAAAATTTGTACTATCTTATCTAACTCAGAATTTCTACTATGCAGGTCCTCTGCTCATAGATCTTATTAAGATTTATTTATATAATATTATATTATACTTGACTTTTCTGTTATACTTTTAATACTTAATTAATATTAGTACAATATGATTTACAGAATTACAACTCTAGAAATGAACAAGGTTTACTATAAGTTAGATACAAAGGTCTGAATAATTATTCAAATTTGTTAATAATGAGATTTGAACTCAAACCTTTTATATAGCAGTTTGGCAATCTAACTACTATACTAAGATCACCAAATCCTAATTTATCTGCAAATTAACATAATATATCTTTTAATAAGATAAAACTAAAAATATTCTTTTTATAAATAATTTTTGGATAATATCTACTATTATTAGAAATGTTAAAATATTCATTTAGTTTGATTCTATTATAGTCTTTAAAAAGTTCAGTTCTTAACTAGTTAGAACTACTAGTTCATAACTAGTTTATATTCTAGTTTATCTAACTATATTAGGTTTAATATAAAATATATAAAATTTGAGAAATATGAAATTATAGTTTATTACAGATAAGTATAATATTTATTTTAAAAAAAAAACAATATAAAAAAAATATATATATATATAAAAAATATATATATAAACTATATTTTGTCTAAAATATCTATTTTTTTTTGTTAATCTAGAATTATATTATAATTTTACAAAAGCTCGCATATACTTTTTTATCATTTTGATAATTACATAGCAGATTTAAAGTATATTTAGCTATTAAAAATATCTGTTTACTTAAGACACTTGTTATCTGAGTAACAAGATAATCGTAAGCTATATTAATAAGTAATATTTAATTTAAATCTAAAGATTTAGATTTTCAAAAAGATAGGTAATTAATATTTTCATCTTGTGTATTCAAATACTTATCTAATATACTATAACTAGAACTAATTAACATGTTATTATAAGTTTGTTTTAACTAAGACTGAAAGTAATATTGAGCTGAATTTAACTAGTTAGATTTTAAAAATTGTTGTTATTATTGTATTTTTATATTATTAAAGATATAGTTTTAGTATATTGTACTAACTATTTGATAAATATAATTTATTTCAGGTTTAGAACTTTATAAGAAAAATTTATATTACAGATCAAGTAATACTACTTCAGAAAATGAGAATTGCAATTCATTCTAATACTTGTCAAATTTTTCTAAAATTTTATTCAAAATATGAGATTTTGTTAAATCAGTTAAATGTTTAGTTTCAGTAAATTTTTTAATAATTATAACAAAAGCTTTGTGTTTATTTTTAATTATTAGATAGCTTGATAAGAAGACTATTAGAATAGCTTTATAAAAGAATTCTAACAACTTTATTATAACTTCAATATTATCCTAATCTTGA